TGTTGGGCAACAGCTGAGCCGACTGAAAGGATGTGCGATGGTTGAACTCTGTACGTTTTTTTTTAATGACCCTATGTGTATGCTCATCGGTTTCCAATTTTTATTCAAAAAATTATTTGAAATTGGTACTAGAGCGATTGTTTTTATTATTTTTTTTTAAGTTGTTAAAAGCTAAAAAAAATATCAAATTTATTCTAATCGATTGAATGCAGTCTCGGTGAATTTTTTTTTTATCAGTTTACTCCACACTCAACTAGTAATTTGTCTTTTCGTTTTTATTTTTATTGATTATATATAATTTAAGTTGATGGAGGTGGTGGATTTTAGTAAAATTAGACTTGAAAGCCTGTAAAATTACGTTTGGGTATATTTGAAATCATATGAGAACAAACCAATAGCCTGGGCCAACCAGGCCATCCACTATCTAGTGTTATGACTGAAATCATTGTTAGGTGTTTCACAGCAATAATGTCTTGACAATTATTAAAATGAATAAAACATATTAGCTGAGACGTATATTCTATGGCAGATCATGCAAAAGCCGGTTTCGACATGATTTATTTCAAACAAAGGTATCACAAAAGTGCTACCACCTATAAAACGGCTATTAATGAGCAATGTATATAATTAAATACGCTGTTCATATTTAATCGATAATAACGACCGTAAACGTCGTTTTAAAAAATGGATAATATATGACTTTATATAAGTGAGTCAAGTATGTCGCGAGCCAGTAATTATTAAAATACAAGTTTTTACAATAAACTCATTCTGTTCTTGATGTCTTTCTTGTTTTTCCAATATCGTCAAAATTAAGATAAAATACTTATTGCAAATATTTTTTTACGAGATAATTCGTGCACAGTTTGTTTTCATTTTTTTAATCGGTTTTTACTGTTCCAATACGGCAAATGGCCATTATTTTTGTGCGTGCATAATTCATAGCTGTTTAGCAATTTGAATGCATATTTCGGCAACCTTGACACTGGTAATCGCGCCATGGTGGCGAGCATTGGCGGCGGAGACTTTAACGTCCCAAAAAACGATTTAAATGACGTCACAACAAATTAGCCGTGAAATTAGCGGAGAGGTTATACCCACTTGAGAGACCGGTTATATGTACAAACGTACCGGCTATTAGTGTCCAAAAAGTCGTTATAATCGAGTACAACAGTGAACACTTCACTCTGTAGGGATGTGTTACAGAAGCGTCGTAGCTATACACACGCGCGCGCGCTAATCGATTGAAGTGCGTGTTGAATGAAACTCTTACAGTCCTGTAAACATTTCCATTCTTCATACTCGTATTTGAAATAATTTGGTACACACTATATGTACCTACCTATTATCAATCCATGTGCTTAATGAGCTGGTCATTATGTGTTATTTTAACATGCGAAACGAACACATATATATTTTAACATTATAAAGGCTGGTAATTTATATGTGTTTATACGGTTACAGTGTACTTTAATACTTATGCCATATTAAACTTAACCAATCATGGTATTTCTATTTATGTGACTTTATACATGTGTACTCTATTATCTAACAAAATTAAAAAAATATATATATATATATATATATATATATATATATATATATATATAAACAGCATATATTCATGTCCAAAAAAGGGAATTGATGACAAATATTTTCGAAAATGTAATCGTTATTGGAAATATTTAAACATCTCAAAAAGTTAAACACACACAGTGCAAAATATTAGTAAAATATGGTAATTACACCGGTATAGGTATTTACCTGCGTCCCGCACTTTTAAATCTGGTAACTTAACTGGTTATAAAAAAACTACTTAAAAATCTTATAATGACTAAATACCATAAATATCAATAGATAAGTGTAATTTGGTTTGTAGCCTACTTTGCGTCAAGCCAACAGCATATACGATTTGAAATATGGATGTAGGCGCATACCTATTTATAGTTATACTCTATTATACTTAGAAATTTGAACTGTAATTTTCAAACAGTAAATGTTTTCCTAACTAACAGTTTGAGTTAATCATTATATACTTTGGAAAATGTTCGCCTATTTACTTCTAATTACTATCGAGGAATAAGTGCCTAAATAATGGGAATGAGTTATAGTAAAATAAATAGCTCTCTTGTTTTATAACATCAAACCGTACAAACTTTTATATACTATAATTCCTTTGATCAATTATTTTTGTATGTATACGTGATTTATATTGGTACAATAAAACATTTCTTTTAGTTTCGATCAATTTTCCCATTCGTTTACATCATCACTACGTTATATTATACGTGGACGAAGATTGTGCGCATATCTATAGAAATAGATCTGACGAACGGAAATCTAAAAAAAGATCTTTCTGGTTAGCTATACATCACGATGTTGCTCTCCAGTATAACGTGTAGTATAATACCAGTCGGATCGGAAAAAAATGGTGGTCGCGTCACAAAGTATAACGGATTGACGTATAAATGCAAAAACGTTCTAGATTTACCATCAATTATAATATATATATGTATGACTGTATATTGTAATGAGACGAAATTGTACCGTATAATCGGGACATGCGCGATGGGAACTCAACGTCGTCGTCTCTGTAATTTCTCGGTAGGCATTCACGGGAAAACGACTGCGAATAATATGCCCGATGAAGGGTGGCGCGGAGACGACAAATCGTCTCTATAATGGTCGGGTCTATATATCGCGGGAAAAGGAAAACGGTAATTACGCATCGGAAATTCGCGCCGCGTGCACTTCGACACGTCCGTAAAGAAACGAGGGAGAAAAAAAAAAAAACGGCAACTGTAATTTGCTGAGGACTTTACGGTTATCGGCTAATGGTAACGTAATTTCCGCGTGTGCAATTATAACGCTAAGATGGAAATAAAAAAAAATGAAAAGAAAACGATTACTATATTGACGTAGTAGAAAATTCTCTTCGCCTACCCGTATTTATTGTATGCATACACTCGGACCGCTGCGAGCGTAATGCGTATAATATATGATGCATTATTATTAATCCTATACGGTTGTACCGCGCGTGTGGTATACTTTATACAATAGTCGTATGTGTCTTATTTTACGTTTATACTTGTATATACCATAGGTTGCTGGAACAGCAACGGTCCGCTTTCTTAGCGAAAAAACGCGCACAAAAACAATGGTCGCGCACGCGGCCGGCCTATACGTGCACTACGTATCATTATTATTATTGTTAAACATCGTACACAGAAATCGTCCGTACAAAATTCCGCTTTTACATTATGCCCGGGATCCGAAACGCATAACGAAAAATAAAAATAAAATTAATCTAACGGTCTCCGCGCGATATTTATACGTCCATCAACCCATGCGAGCATGCGTTGCGAACGCCGCGGCGCGGCTCGCACAATAGCTGAATCGAATTAATCATATCTCCTCTCTTGTCCTGGCCCCGGGGAAAACGCGCTCCAATCGATCCACATCTATATGCTCGTATATTTATTTTATCCGCGCATAGGTGTATACGTACGTGTATAACCACGCGGTGACCACTCTTTTCGCCGTTAACGCTACAGGTGCACACTGCGATTATAAACCGTTTACTACACACACACAGTATATATATATATATATATATAAGTACTATACGTGTATATAGGTGTATTCAAAGCGCGCGCGTGTGCGCTTATACCGCGAGGCCGCGAACGTTCCTTCGAGCGCCGCCGATTGACCGTTGGGTCGCCACGTTACGCGGACGTATGAATAGCGTGTTCGAATATATGTGAGGTTTAACGCGTGTACGATGGGTATCGAACGCACTGGAAACGGTGTCCGCAGGTCTCTTAAGACGGAACACATCGGTGCGTTTTTGGTTTATTTTTTTCTTCTGTGTACATGGCAGGACTGGGTCAGAAATTTCTACCGTGAAAAAAAAAAACGGCCAACTTAGATATACCAAAAAGGTATAAAAACATATATAATTGTATATTATTTTGAAAATTTGAACACTTAATATTATAAATTAAAAATGAAAAGACCGTTTATTTAATTTTAGACAGTTTTTAACAAAATGGCATTAGAAAATGCGTCTATGCCTGTCGACACAATGAGCATAAACCGATAAATCTAAAAATTAAAGAAATTTGCGGCGAGTAAAAACGACCCACTGGGAAGCTCCCGGTATCCCGCCTTGCTCAGTCCGGCCCTGTCTGTGTAATAACTTCGAAACGCCGTGGCGCAGCCTGGATTCAATTTCCGATTTTACGAGGTATTCAATACCAGACTTCTGGTGCGTATTTGTTACATCGAAAAGCGTTCGTAAAAAAACAAATTAATTAAAACATCGCTACGTAAAATAATCGATGTGAACTCTTCGTTTCGCTCTAAAAAAAAAAAAAATAACACCAACAAAACAAATGGGTGAATATACTCGTAATATACGCCGTGTCGATCTTTGTTCAAAGTTTTGACCTATTCTATACAGTTTATTGTGATTGCCTATCGTTTTTTTTTTCTTATCACGTGGCTCATAATTCACTGTGTGACTACATCAGATACGATTATTACAGTTGTCCTCGAAATGTACCTCTCCTTCCATCGGTTGCGCGTGTTGTGTGTTGTTGGTGCTGGGTTGTGTTTATAACAACAGCACATTTTTGGATGAAACTACCGCCATCGTAACAAGCGATTTCGGATATTTAAACGTGAATTCCATCGATGAAAATATTTCGATTTTCCTCGTGCACCTGTCAATTATTTTACGTTTAGTTATACATATAGCGCTGTCGGTTTTTTCCCCGCCTCGGCCGCAGCCAATGACGTGTTTTAAATATCTATAACTACACAACACTAATGTAATCATCATCATTATTATAATATTTTATAGATTGTAATAGTACGTTTGTTATAGGCTCGTAAGATTTTCTAAAAAAAATAAACACGTTTTATATATATATATGTATACATGCGTTTTCGTCGGACTAGTTATTCACTAAAAATGCTTTTTTTCCGTGACATTCCAGAACTGCTGGTTATGAGGATTGAACATGGATAGCGGTAACGAGACCCTTTTCTCGGAGGACTCATCGCCCGACTCGGCGCCACCGCCGTCGCCCAGCAGTGGTCGAGGGAGCCAACAGCCCACGCCTGCTCCTACCCCGCCGCACATCACTTCTTCCTTGTCCAAGGTAAACATACATATTATATATCTGTTTTCCAGTGCACGATGCCTATGTAATATATCTGTATACGGGTTTGTTTTGTTCAAACCCTTTTCACCCAATAAAATATTGCGTCGGGTTAAAACGACGTTGGGTTGTCATGTTGTCAAAAATAAAGAATGGACAAAAAGAATAATAAAAATACCGCAGTTACTAATATAATGTATTGGAATTCAATATGTAAACAATAAAACATGATCACAAATGATTTTTACCGAGATAGTAAAAATAAAAGAAACAGAATTTCGTACGAGAAAAGTTAAAAAAAATAACTATTTGACTGTCCAATTTCAATCGGCTAGAATGCGTGATAATTGTGTACAAACGATTTTTTGGGTAAATCGTTAGTAAACGAACATATTGCATTAATAATACACAGTATACACTTTCAGTTTACCCACTTGGTTATACTAAAAAAATATTTCTTTAATGTTGCTATAATTTTAGAATAACTTAAATATCTGCGTATTAAATTAAATTAAAGAGTCTGGGCTCGTTTTATTAATACGATTTCCATCAAACATATTTATCATTTTAAATCAATGAAGTATTTTGAAATTTACCTGAATTTGTGTAAATACTGTGTTCACAGTATTTATTTTATTAGCATAGTTAACAAATCGAAAAAACGCTAACATTTAATTTTTTTATTTCTATAGTTCCTTAATATTAAAAAATAAATATGCGTGTCTACTCGATTACTTATTTATTGATTTACTATCTCTTGTAGAGTTGTACTATCAGTAATGTTTAAAATATTATCTTAATTATGGTTTTTTATTAGTACCAAACCAAATACTTTTTTAAAATTACATTGCGTTTATAATTGCATAGCTTTAAGGTATTTGATAAAAGTAAAATTAAAAAAAATTATAAAAAATATTATACAATGAACTTGTTGACCGGTAATTATCGTTGTTAATTAGGTTTAGAATTATAAATTATGTTATATGCTAAACAGTTTAATGATACGTGTGTAGATAATGTCTGGAAATATCTTTAGATTTTCAAATTGTAATTTATTAACGGCATAACACACGAAATACTTATATGTCAACATGGTTTGATATTAATTGATTTCACCTTGTATCGCCTAAAATCGGCTACCCGTTTATAGTTAACATATTAATGTGCGGTAAGAACTTCAACGTTTAAATTTGATTGTAGCATAAAATATACCTATTCATTAGAATTTATCAGATCGAATCGTTAAAGAAAATTAGTAACATTACAATATAGTAAGAAATATTACAGTACTTAACATTATTATTTTAAACCGTATATACCATATTTCCATTCAAATGCAGATTATAAAAATTAGCTATGAGTGTTTGGATGAAAATAAAACCATTTTGAAATCAGTAACGTTCAATTTCAAAGACCCGGCGTTTTTTGCACGTATAGTGTGACAGGCGTATGTTTATTTTTGTAATAACTTCACTTTCTAATGCTTTTGTAATGGTACGTTCAAAGAGATGTTTATGTATAGTTTATGTACATACTTATAGGTACGACGGTGCGTATACACTATATTTTATAAAAAGAAAAACGTATATAAAACTGTGGTTGTATATAAAAAGAAAACGACTACTAAAACGTCTAAGACACTATTATACGTCACGTAGTTGTGCATAATACCAGTTAATAATTTAACGTTATATTAAATGAAATGACAAAGTTGTCAACATTTGATGTCAAAAGTGCACAAAGATTAATGTGAAATACGACAAAATGATAGCGATGACATTTGCTTATCTTTGTTATGTTAATATGCATAGCGGAAATAATATGATTAACACATAAATATGCAGTAAAAGTGAAACGCGATCGCATCCACTATGTAACCCATCAATTGATATAATTTTTACTATGCGTCGTAACTATACGTAACATGGTTTAAGGTTATCGTTCGGTACTAAAAACGATATAATAAAAAACTTAAAAATATGCTTACACATAAATAATAAATTACCATCGACGTGTACAGTATCAACCCTACGTTCCTCACGATATCTTTACATTTATTCACTTGTAATATCGTTTTTGTGTGGGTACATATTTATGTTCATGAGTTCCAAGTTGATGTACTTGTGCGATCCCGTATCATAAACTATATTTAATTTATTTTTTTTCATACGTAAATTTCTAAAGTAATACGAAACTCTTTTTCAACCCATAGACCCCGGATTATATATTTTTCTTGCGTTCAACAGCTACCGTATTGTTAACAGCGAATAAATTGTATAAATCGATTATAAACACAATTTCAATATATTTACCACATTATAATGTGGAGTATTTTTATTTGAACTTTGTGACGGTCCCCAGAACAATGCAAACATAATGCTGCGCATTGCGTTTTATTCAATGACGAATAAAATAAAATTGCAATTTCGTTTAGGACACGCATACCACGGTCACCGTTGATAACGTTTTACTTACATTATATTTGAATCACGTATACACAGAGTTAGTGTACATTATTGCGGTATTATAAATGTATTCGCGCAACCGTACGTGGATATTGTAATATATATTAATTGCAAAACGGCAACATACGTAATGCCCATAAGTAACACGTAAGGGCGTTCTTTGTCGTCTAGGTCCAAGCACAACGTGTACGGGAACGTACGGCATAACATAATAATAATAAATAACAAAACGATCATAATACACGGGGGTCCGCTGTTGAACGTGTGCACACACGTATCGCACTGTCGACATAATAGGCGCTCGTGGCCTTAATAAGAAAAGAAGAAAAAAAAAAGTCCTTTCTATTCGGTATACGTATCGCTCGCATTACACATCGACACACGTATTATCGGAGTTCGGTCGCCAATGCGACGACGATGTAGTAGTAGTGCCCCTCATCGTCGTTATTTTTCACTGGAATTTCTGCGCGGCAAGTGAACGCGTCAGCTGTACGCGACGTCCCGCCACGGGTGCTTATGGGGTACGCCGTGGACCGCGGGCACGGACTGGTTTGGCGCGTGTGGTTAACGCACGTGCGCGCATAAAGCTGGGTTCAAACTACACCGTGCCGTGTCGTGTCTTCTAAAATAATTATCTCTGATTGGCCGAACCATATTGTTACACCAAGGTGTACCGTATAATAAATCACAAGCTACCTCACTAACCATAAGATACCGTGAAGTTGATTTTATCCAACTTTTGAGCGTGTGGTTATCGATTTTAATAGTAATAATTTAATATTATATGATAACATTATTTATAGTAACAAAGGGCTCGGAAGGTGTTGCATTTGCATGATTTTATTGGGCTATTCAATTTATTGCTAAATAACCTTGAAATTATTTTCATGACACTATGAAAAACCTAATGGAAACATTTTGAAAAAAAATTTCAAATTTCAAGCTATTTTATTTTATATATTTATATCTAGACTACCTGCGTAGTCATACATGAACACTTATATAATAAGGGAGTTCCTGAGAACACATCTATGGATGGTTACACATATTCTATTTACAATTACTTAGCTAATCAAAACTACACATAATTATTTAGCTAATCAAAACCACAACCGTGGACAAGTTAGATTATTAAATTAACATGGTTATTGTACGGGAAATTAAAATAAGTAATAAGAGCGACAGTAACCACATCCTGGGTCTGTGCGTCATTGAATATGGGCCGGTCGAGAGATAATTCACAAATACAGAATTCACAGAAAATTATCTTATTTTATTATCAGTTTTCATATACACACACACACTTGGGATTTACACATACACTCGCATATATCAGATATAAAAGGGACCCGAAAACAAGGGCAAATCAGACGAGTTTTGGCTATGCTGCACTGAGCACCTTCACGTCAGTGTATGTCATGGTCCGGACTTAAGAAATATTTCAAACTATTTTTATAAGTTATAATTGTTAGGACTTAGAATAATTTCTAGTCTAAATTATTTGGACTTGGAATATTTACAAATTGTTGCATTTAGAATAATTTTATCGGTTTAATAAATTAAATTATTATAAAGAGTCTTAATTATTCTTCACTATATCTACATCCAACCGTTGATTAAGACATTAGTACTGAAATCACGGATCAAACGGTTGGCACGTAACAAAATAATATACTAATACATTTGTACCGTTATGTACGAGTATATTTAATAAAATATCTTTATTTATGAACATTTTTGCGTTAAAAAAAAAAATTAAGTGCATATTTTTGAAGCATATCTGTACATTTTTAAGCGCATATGTGCATGCATATTTAGTACTTTTTAAGTGCATTAAGTTCCGAGCCCTAATGATAATACAATACATACCCTCTACAATATAATTTGATATTCATCAGTTATTATTTATCGAAACTTATGAAAATATTTCATGTCTAATAAAAAAAACTGAGAAAATATGTAACCAAAATTTGATAGCATCACCATAAGATAATATATTGGTATCACACATTTTCAAAGCACGCGGTCTGGCAAAATACACGTCACGGTGAAATGTGAACCCGGCTTAACGATACTGTTGTTGTACGTTTTACGCAGAAACGTACGCTGTGCGCGTTCAACAACGTAACTACTCGGTGGGTTACGCGGGTGGCGGATAATACCCAGCGGCGCGTAACAATTGGCGTTACAGCCGGTGTTGGTGAGTTGCGGCCCAAACCCTAAGTAACGTACGAGTTGCGGCCCGGGTTTATGATAGGTACGTACGAGTTGCGGCCCGAGTTTATGAGAGGTACGTACGAGTTGCGGCCTATACAATAATCTATGTACTACATATATAATATATACTATACATAGTACATGTATATAAACATCACGATATAAATTTATTAATACTACGTATTTTCTAGTATTGTCGTATATTATTATTATTTGTCATTTCAAGAATATAAATTAAAAAAAATATTCGTAAATTAATAATACCGTATAGTAATTTCATTTTTTAGCTATTGTTTTGGTTAAAATAATAATAAAAAG